TTTATGAGAAGAGACAATGAAAAAATGAAAACAAATCAAGCTCTAGGACATTATCTTAATGGACTAAGAATAAAAATTGTTCAAAGTAAAAGAAAAGAATATCCATTTTTAAAAATCATTTTTTTACAATCAAGGTTAAAATATGTTGTTATCTCTGGTAACTTTAATGGACTTTTGCTGATCAGGACTGAACAAGGCTTCAAGGTTGTCTTAAACCTTCTATGACACAACATCACGGTATTCATGAATTGTTGCTTTTCCATTATATGGACCATCATATGTTATGGTCAAAATAGTTCTCAATTTTATAAACATATCTATTTTCCACTGGATATTTATTTTCCAAATAATTTACAGGAATAATGAAATACTGGAGGGTTTCTAAATGTTTAATCAGCTGATGAATTATTCAAGTTCAACCCACCCCAGAAGTAAAACCTGATTATGTCAACATTGCTGATTTCATTCTTAATGATGTAATCCATAGAATAAATCCTCTTTGAAACCGATTCCACCTGAACACATTCCACCTGAATCATGGGAAAACTAAATCTTTCATCAGGATAAAACAGTATTTCTAGGTCCTTCGAGAAACAAGAAGTACAAAAGGATGTAGCCCATGTCCCTCTATTTAATGTTATAGTTTATTGGAGTATTGTAAACTACTTCAAACATTTTGGCACAATAGACACTGGTATTTCAATTTATGAAACATTATTGTACATAATTAATAATAAAATGAGAGAATATGGTACTTATCTGCCTGCATAGCAGTCTCTTTGAGAATGTACACTAATTAATGATAAAAAAACCATCTCATGGAAAAGAAAAAAAGTTAATTTATGGGTAGGAGATTCAATCTCAATGTAATGCAGTATATGCCATATGTGCAATTCTGGTATGAGCCCTGTCAGTTTAAAAGGAATGGGCAGACAATACATTTGATACTAAAATATTGGGATTCAGCACAAGAAGCTGGATATTGTACACTGGATATATTGTTAAAATATCTCCACCAAAACGTCAGAGAAATATGGTCAAGGTCAAATATAGATAGAAACTCCCCAAGTAACCATAAGAATAATAAACACCTATTTACTGCAGAACTGAAGAGTTTTCATCTGAAGACAACTTCGCAGAGTGATTTTTATTAACTTATTATTAAATCCATCTTTGTACTATCACATAGCCTGTATAAAGTATCAATTTATAAAACAGAGAATTAAAGAGAAAAGAGTTGGCATTGAAAAAAAACCATTGTTTCTTTAGAACATTGTTAAAAATGCTTGCTATGGTCCGATCAGAAAAAGGTATTAACTTCCATACCTCTTGTGCAAAGTTTTCTGCCCTCTTCCGTAAGTTTTTTTCCAGCTCAAAGTTGACTTGGAGTTCTTCATACTCGTCTACTGCTAGTACAGACACTATGCGAAATGAAAAGGAAGGTGAGAAGGAGGAAGGGCAGACAGTTGCAGCAGTGGTGGTGAAACAAAACACAACCATGAAACATGCCATGAAACATGCCATGAAACAAGATTAAGTGTAGCAATATGGCTGTAATGAAGATATTTTTTTCTTTTCTACTACAGTGTTTGAAATGTAATTAATTATATTAGTAACTAACAGTGGTAGGTTACCGGAGGTATACCCCAGTACGGGCGTACAGGAGCCAGCCCGGAGCACCGGATACCATTCCGGTATGGTACTCTGGAGGGCCCACCCGCACTCGTTACCTGTGTTTTAAAGCTTCTGCGCTGCCATGCACGCGCATGGCGCATACAGCACCTGTACGACGCTCCAGGGAGCAGCTGGAACATCACAGAGGTACTAGAATACATGTCCATGCTAAACATGCGCTGCGGGCATCCATGAAAACGCCGCCGGCCCCGTTCCAACCATACCGGTTGGAACGGGATTTGAAACCCACCACTGGTAACTAGACATATGTACTAAAGTAGAATGAGAGGTGTACTTCAGTGAAGCTAGCTCTGTTAGAAGGAAGGAGGGACAATCTTTGATTGCCCACAAACTGCTGCCTTCAAGGTTAGAAAGTGAGACTGTAAAATGATGTTGAAAAATGACTGTAGAAATAAGTTCCATTAAGGTAAAGTTAAAAACACTTTACATTCCATGGCAAATTAGACAGAAGTTTGATGACGTGGTCCAGTGATGTCAGAGACATTTAATAACAGATATTTAAAACAGTAAAAGATGTGGCCATTTCTTGGCTCTTCCACATAACCTCCTTTCTAAAATATCATGATGGTCCATTTACTGGGTCAGGAAGAAAGGATCTCACAACAAACTTTGATCTTGAGGCCAACCTGTCACTATTGCCAAGTCAAAAAACCCTACACAATGTATCCTTACGTTACACTGGAACTTGCCAGTTCAACCCAGTTGTGAGGCTGACAGTTGAAGATGGAAAGATTTATCCCACTCATATCAAATAGTTCATACTAGCTTCTCCAGTCTGTATGCTGGGAGCAGAGAGAAAGGGGGCTTCTCGATTGCACCTCTGGGTACTAGTCCTGCATGAGAAGCATTCATGGCTCACTGCAAAGAAATGCCATAAGGAATCTCATGACTAGGTTGACCCAGCAAGATCAGAAAAGAGAAGGAGGGATAAATACAGGGGCATTGCACAGATGGCCCTGAGGAAGGAAGAAGGAAAAAGTACTCGTGGAAGAAGAGGTCCAGGCTGTAGGCTCTGGAACCCAACCTTTCAATTCCCACAGACTCAACAAAATGTTATCCGCTGTGTTGAAATAAAATCTTTGTGAAAGATTAGGGCACATGTATACATGATTGCACGGGAGACTTAGCTTTAATTTTTTATTTTTAACTGGAAGTATAAAGTCTCTTGGATTTATCATGAAGTAGTAATAGCAATAGCACTTAAATTTATATACCGCTTCACAGTGCTTTACAGCCCTCTCTAAACAGTTTACAGAGTCAGCGTATTGCCCCCCACAATCTGGGTCTTCATTTTACCCACATCGGAAGGCTGAGTCAACCTTGAGCCTTGTGAGATCTGAATTGCCAAATTGCAGGCAGCTGGCAGGCAGCAGAAGTAGCCTGCAGTACTGCACTCTAACCACTGCGCTACAATGGCTCAAGTATGCAAAATAATGGCATATGCTATTGATTCTGAATACTTTGGCATTATAATTCTGCCAAAATCATTAAATGTTAACAATCTTATTTAAGCCTAGTTAATCTGTATATGGTTTTAGTTAAATCATTAACTATCATTCAGTAAGCTGAATAGTAGTCACCATAGAATTCAGATTATATTTCCCACTTCAGTTATAAATAAGTATTGATGGGATTATTGAATGGGGAATAGAATACTTTATGATCCCACTGCCAAGGTTATAAATATATCAAGGTCTTCAAAGGAATGAAGTAGCAATTAGCACACTAAGTCATCCTGATGTTTCTTGTTTTGATTATTACATTTCTTGAATAGGTTCTAATAGAGAGTAATGATTTGACTGTCTTAGATTCTTACAACTCCTGTTATGTAAGCATACTTCAGGGTCTAGAAAAGTGGTTCCCAACCTTTTTTTTTGGCCATGCTCCACCTAAGCATCTTTAAAATCCTGATCCCCCCCCCCACATATAATTCTTACTTTACTCAAAAAGTGAACTCTACTCACACAGAGGAAGCCTAAAAGGCCATTAACTTAATTTAAACAAGGTTCGAATTGCCCCCATAAAAAATCGAATTGCACTCTTGTGGGGTGTGGGCCCCATGTTGGGAACCACTGGAAGATGATTGTTTCCACAGTCTAACATGTGGCAGCAAAGTTCCATGCAATCACAAGAAATGATAGGAGATAAAGCTATATGATTATACTATACATAGTATGATCTAATGTGGGTATATAGAAACATTTGCAGTGATAAAAAGTTTCTTCCAGGCATTTAGGGGAACTTTTATTAATTGACATTATTATATTTTATACTGTCTTGCCACACAAATAGTGCGATAATAGAGTTCATTTTAGAAGTATACCTGAATATCTAAAGATGTACACAAGATAGTCAAGAGTTCCTCAGATACAGTTCTATCTAAATCAATTGCATTGTTGCCAAAGATTTATGAACAGGTATAGGAAAAAACAATCAAATTTGCCATTATTACCCAGTGTTAAATACACAACTGGAAATGATTGGAATATCAGGGGGGGTTAAAGCATATAGGCTGGTCAGCAATGCAAATCCTTCTGGACCTTGGTTTCTATTAGTCATATAAAGTTTCATTAAGACTCTACACACTTTACATTTCTGTCCCTATTCTTGCTTGATTGTATAAATGTACACTAGCCTTCATCGGTTTGATAATATGATTATCCGGTACAGGTAGTCTTCAACTTACGACCACCATTTGGACTGGATTTTCTGTCACTAAGAGATGCTATTGTTAGTAAGTCATCACATGACCAGACTCACATGGTTATAATAAATATATCTAAGTGTATTGTGTAAACGTATGCATTATTAAATCGAGTACTATACTGATAGGAAAATATACCATAGAGTGCTCTTCAAATATATCAGAATACACTGTATAAAATACAGGATGGTTAATAGTATTTATCTTTCCTGAAAGCTTGCTTGATGTTTGAATGTTGGGTTTCAGAAGAATGCATTGAGTACACCATTAGCAAGGCCTGTTCTCATCCTACCCAATAGCTGAATAGGAGAGGTTCTAATCATGTAACCCTGGTACACGATTTATCGTCTTACATACAGGGCAGGATGCGGTGGCTTAGTGGCTAAGATGCTGAGCTTGTCAATCAGAAAGGTCAGCAGTTCAGCAGTTCGAATCCCTAGCGCCGGGTAACAGAATGAGCTCCTGTTACTTGTCTCAGCTTCTGTTAATCTAGCAGTTCGAAAGCATGTAAAAAAGCAAACAGAAAAATAGGAACCACCTTTGGTGGGAAGGTAACAGCGTTCCATGCGCCTTCGGCATTTAGTCATGCCGGCCACATGACCATGGAGACGTCTTCGGACAGTGCTGGCTCTTTGGCTTTGAAACAGAGATAGCAATAGCAATAGCAGTTAGACTTATATACCGCTTCATAGGGCTTTCAGCCCTCTCTAAGCGGTTTA